GTGTCCCAGTATGCATACGAGCGGAAAGAAGCGATCCAGAAGACCATCATGGCCATGACGCTCGGCAAAGACGTCTCGGCGCTGTTCCCCGATGTGCTCAAGAACATTGCGACGCCGGACCTGGATCAGAAGAAGCTTGTTTATCTGTACCTGATGTCAGTTTCCTGACTTGCGGCGCCTGCCTTCAGTAACGGTCCTGCTGACATGTCACGCACAGGAACTACGCGAAATCTCACCCGGACCTCTGTATTCTTGCCGTCAATACGTTCGTACAGGACTCGGAAGATCCGAACCCCCTTATCCGTGCGCTCGCGATCCGAACCATGGGGTGCATTCGCGTCGATAAGATGACGGACTATATGGAGGAGCCTCTGCGAAAGACGCTCAAGGACGAGTCCCCCTACGTCCGCAAGACGGCCGCGATCTGCGTCGCCAAACTCTTCGATCTCAGCCCGAACACTTGCTTGGAAAATGGATTCCTCGAGAGCTTGCAGGAGCTCATCGGCGACCCGAATCCCATGGTCGTGGCCAACTCGGTGCAGGCTCTGTCGGAAATCAGCGAAACGGCGCCCGAGACAAGAGCGCTGATCATCACACCGGCCACGCTTAAGAAACTGCTCATGGCGCTGAACGAGTGTACCGAGTGGGGGAGAGTCACTATTCTTACGACGCTCTCGGAGTACCAGACCCACGATGTCAAGGAGGCGGAGCACATCTGCGAGCGCGTAGCACCGCAGTTCCAACATGTGAATCCAAGCGTAGTGTTGGCGGCTGTCAAGGTTGTCTTTACACACATGAAGTTGATCAACCCGGAGTTGGTCAGGCAGTACCTGAAGAAGATGGCGCCTCCTCTTGGTAAGTCTGGCTGAACCAGTCCACCCCATGATGCTGACCAAGGCCTAGTTACACTGATTGCCTCCGCCCCCGAGGTGCAATACGTTGCTCTCAGGAATATCGACCTTCTGCTTCAGGCCAAGCCCGACATTCTGAGCAAAGAGCTGCGGGTCTTCTTCTGCAAGTACAACGATCCTCCATATGTCAAGCTCCAAAAACTTGAGATCATGGTCAGGATAGCAAACGAGAAGAACTTTGATCAGCTGCTTGCCGAGCTGAAAGAGTACGCCTTGGAGGTAGACATGGACTTTGTTAGGCGGGCAATCAAGGCTATCGGCCAGGTTGCCATCAAGATCGAAGCGGCCAGCGAGAAGTGTGTCAACACTTTGTTGGATCTGATCGCCACCAAGGTCAACTACGTTGTCCAGGAGGTGGTCGTGGTAATCAAGGATATTCTCCGGAAATACCCCGGCTACGAGGGAGTCATTCCCACCCTCTGCAAGTATATCGACGAGCTGGATGAGCCCAACGCGCGTGGGTCGCTGATCTGGATTGTGGGAGAGTATGCCGAGAAGATCAAGAATGCCGACGAAATATTATCAGGCTTCGTGGATGTGTTTGAGGAGGAATTCACACAGGCAAGTTTTATTCCGTCGCTCGTGACCGAGGACTACAAGCTAACATACAGAAGACCCAATTACAAATTCTCACGGCAGTTGTAAAGTTGTTCCTCAAGAAGCCAAGCAACAACCAAGGCTTGGTACAAAAGGTGTTGCAACAGGCGACTGCCGACAGCGATAACCCCGACATCCGAGATCGCGCCTACATCTACTGGCGTCTCCTTTCTGGGGATCTTGATGTTGCCAAGGTCAGTTGCCTTTTTGCGTCGCCGATCGTGTGCTGACCCGAATAGAGTATCATCCTGTCACAAAAACCACCCATCACAACAACGGTTACCTCTCTACCTCCTGTTCTCCTTGAACAGCTTCTGTCGGAGCTTTCGACCCTTGCCTCTGTTTACCATAAGCCACCGGAGTCGTTTGTCGGCAAGGGCCGTTTCGGCGCCGATGAGATCCAGCGTGCTGCCATCCAAGAACAGCGGCAGAATCTGGCCGAGAACCCGATCGCTGCATCAGTCGCCGCTGCAGCTGCAGCAAATGGCACTGGTGCGTCGCAGAGTAATATTGAGAATCTGCTCGACATCGACTTTGACGGGGCCGCGCCAGCCAGCGCCGAGCACAACCCCAGCGGCAATGGGACACCTGACCGGGTTGCCAGTCCGGCTGCGACCGGCGGGCTGGGCAGCGCACCGAGCGCCATGGCGGATATCATGGGTCTCTTTGATGCGGGCCCGGGCCCTTCTACACAGGCGCAACCGGCTGGTGGTATGGGCAATGTTATGGATAGCTTTGCAGGCATGGATCTCAGTGGGATGAGCGCCCCGCCACCAGCCTCGCAGCAACTTGGGCACAAGCCTGCGGAGCCGAAGGGTGGCAATGATGACTTGTTGGGGTTATTCTGAGCGGCGAGGAGCGGTTGAGTGTGATATAGTTTTGGGGTAGATGGCTAGCGTTACTTCAGGGTTGTTCTGGCCGGAAGAGACGAGAATTAGGAATACCATTCTTGGAGAGTATCATGATAGGGATGTGAAGATGGACGCAGGACCTTTAACGACGGCCTCCTTTATCATATATCCGGGACTGTCATGATCCGCGCGATAAGGGAGTTTCGGTTGTTTTCCACGGCCAGATACAAAACTTAAAGAGGTGATTCGGCAAAAGAGATGAATATGGTGCTGGTTGCTTTGGGTCGACATCGACATCTAGCAGTAGGTATATAGTAGGTAAGGTCGGTTATAGTACGAAGTCCATTGTCTGCTCCTCTTCTCTAGCCACAGAAACATAACAAGAGCCGTCTTCTGAGCAGCTCCCAATTTGCAGGCGGAAACACTATTTCGACCAGCCTTGGCCTCACGGCTTCAAATGCCTAGATAACACATAGGTATCGAGTCATCGAACCAGCACACTTTCAAGATTCATCAAGGAAGGGAGGAAAGGGGGATTCTAGTATCCTCCAAGATATAGGTAAACAGCGAACATTACATCTTCCACACGAATTGACAGATCGAGTGACAACCTAGAACATTAATCCTAAGAACTCTACATCATTGATAATCCGGGGATAGACGGCAACCCTGCAAGAAGAAAACACAGCGTTAGCAAATACACCACACCGAGGATGTATAAGTAGGTATGCACTCACATCCATCCACATCCTCCTTCACCGTCCTCGCAATGGTACACCGATCCGCCTCCTCGACCGTCTGCGTTTTGAGTTCGGCACACACATTATTCGTACACCGCGCGTCCAGCGCGCGCTGGAGCGCATCGCCCTTCCAGCCGAACACGTAATCGCCATGCTGCGAGTACCCGTTCCTGTCGCCGGTACTCCACACAAACGGCTGCTGTTTTGTGTCCGCTGGCCAGAGGTCGGGAGAACTAAACTCGTCGGTGCGCCAGCGCACCTCGTACATGACCTGCGGAATCACGACGGGATGGCTCGCGGGACACTTGCCTGTTGGTCCGACGTCGTTGGTGCCCGCGCCCGTGGCGTACGCGACGTGCGACATGTGGTCGGGGCTGTCGGTGTTCTTGCCGTCCCAGCAGGTTGGGAAGGTTATGATGGAGCGGATGCCGCCGATGCATGGTGACGACGGGAGCGTGGCGGCGTCGGGGGCGCCGCAGTTTATGTTGCGGTTGTCGCCTGACGAGGGCATGCATCTGTGGCAGACTTTGTGGGCTGGCGAGGGGGAGGTGAGGGAGGTGGCGTCGCCTATGAGCATGCGGAAGCCGGGTTTGAAGGCTTTTACTGTTGTTTTTGCGTCGGCGGAGGGGATCTGTTTTTTGGGGTTCTATTAGGGTGGAAGGGAGGGAGAGGGAGGGAAAGACAGACGTAATAGACGGTTATCCCGCCGCGTCCGGTCAGGCCTTCTTCCTGGCTCTGCGAGACGCGCTTATACGACCCGTTGCGGGCGCGGAAGAACAAGACGGCGGTCCAGTAGTTGGAAAAGTCCTCGGAAAAGGTGCAGCTTGTGCAGGTCGACTTCTCGACGAGGTCGTGCGAGGCCGGGTCCATGGACGCGTTGAACGAGTTGCCGCCGACGATCTGGTGTAGATGGGGGGACGGGATCGAGCCCGGGTTCACGAGCGGGTCGAGACGGTCGACCACTAGCTGGGAGCAGCCGAAGCGCATCATGGGCATGGTGGCTTGGGCGGCGGCATGGCTTGCGAGTAGCAGCCCTGCTGCGAGGGGTTTGAGTTGCTGCTGCATGTTGGCTGTTTTGGTGGTTTACACTGCTGCTGAGCCAAGATGGAAAGATAGATGAACGAGAGTCTTTGTGTGGGTTGGTATACATACCACTTATAACATGCCGGCGGCCACATTTGCTATCCCGGGAATCTGACCCCGCGTATATAAGCCGGGAGAAGTAGTGTGGTTTAATCTCGAGAGACATTTGCTAAATTGGCGGCTGACGAGCCGGCTCGGGAGTTGACTTTGACGTCCTTACATACCCGGTATTTGTATGGAACTGATGACTTGGGGTATAGCAAGCGATAAGGATAAAATGTTAGGCTCTTGAATAGGTAACTGACGCTACTTGTTATGTTTTATATGAGCATCTGATGGGCGTGCAGCTTCCTTCTGATCTGTACGCATCTGGGTGCGCCCTCGGCAACAGCGTTTCACGCAACTACCTTCCAATCTACCACTGATATCTTTCAAAAAGCTAGATATGTGCTTTCAGTAGCCTGTATACCAACTATATATAGCTGCTTTCAAACTCGTGAAGGCCGATAAAAGTGCAGATATAAGGGGGGTCTGACTTGCGTGCAAGAACCTTGGGCGCACCCTGGGTGCAGACCTAGCAGATATCAGTTCCAGATGACCCTACAATGAGTCAAAAGTGGCTTATTCAGGGCCTCCTTACCGCTCCTCAGATGTTAGAACGTTGGTGCTTAAGGATTTCCTTGAAATTTACGAAAGGGCTATCAGGTGCCTTTAAATGTGGAGTACCGCTCAGCTGTCATGAGAGTCGCGATAATGCCCCTATTCCACACCCACCAGTCTCGTCGGTTATAAAGTGGATTAAACACATTGAAAAACAAGGTCGAGTGGCGCAATGGTAGCGCGTTACTTTCCGGTTCTATCGTGTGGCCGCCCTTCATTAAGGGAAAAGGCTGTCGTGTTCCAGCTGGTAAAGGTTCTGGGTTCGAATCCCAGCTTGATCGGGCTTATATTTTTTTTGTGTATCTTTTCACATAACAACTGTTTTTTTCTTTGCTGTTCCCCTCTCTCTCCCGTTCTCAAGTTTTATCTCACACAGAAGCGGCTACGTGACGACCATGCAGCCCCAAAGCCACGGCAAACTCACACTCGGCCCTCCCGATCTCCGTCATGGTCGGGGCATCCAAGCACAGCAGATAACTCATTTTGTTCCCGCCGTCGAGCACCACACTCAGCAATACACCGTCGTCCTCGTCGACTGATTCGCCCTCAACAGCCGGACGCGGGATGAAGATGGCCTCGCCGGGTGTGTGTCCTTGGGGCCCCTCCCACCGGAGTACCTCGCGCGTCTTGGTGTCGACCTTGGCTATCGCGTCAAACATCGTGCTCAGCCCGCGGCTGACGATGAGGTAAACGTATCGGTGCTCGCGGAACCGAAAGTTTGGGTTGATGGTGGGTAAGTCGCCCACGTGCGGCGCGGGTATCTCGAGGATCGGGTCCGGGAGTGCCACAGCCGGCGGCAACGATGACGAAGTCGACTTGCTTGCTTTGCCGTTTCCCACAGGCAGCCGGTACCGGACCAGCCGCGGGGACGCAGAGCGAGCCGTCTGCTCGTCGGTCCAGAACTCGGCCGCCTTGCCCTCGCGGTCGAGCAGGACATCGTAGTAGAAGCCATCGATGACATGCCGGTTCGGGTAGTCGACCAGTTCACAGACGATATCGCCGGTCCCGTCGTCCGCCTCAAAGGCATTCACCGAGTGGAAGAAGAAGCGCGCCGGCGACGTGAACTGGGCGATGACGCCGCGCCCGCGGTGGCGGTCGACGACGAACCACCTGCACTTCTCCGCCGGGTCGAACGGCTTGAGCGCGTCGAGCAGGTTTCCCTCGAGCGGGATCTTGAGGCCGCTCCATTGGTAGTCCGCTACCGGCAGGCAGAGGATGACGTGGTTCTGGGTCGCGAAGAAGCTGTGCATATAGCTCGCCTTGCAGGGAATAGTCGCCAATATCGAGGTCTGGCCCGTCGCCCCGCTGACCTGGAATACCCTGTAGACGGGCTGCTTGCCCAGGTCCAGGTTGAAGTTGATGTAATCACCCATCGTGGGGTCTATCTCGGGATGGGCCGCGCTCATGGGACCCTTGAGGTCGGGGTGGAACACGGACTGTGCCGGGAACCGGATCGGCTCCAGCGTGCGCGGGTCCAGCTCGCACATGACGGCTGCGTCCGTCCCGAGGATGATATTTGGCGTTTTTGAGGAGGGCAGGGGTATGTTCGCGCTCACTGTGACTGCCACATCTGGCGATCCTGATCTCCTCTTGAAGGCAGTCATGAACTTGCCGAAGATGCCGACACACGGATCGGACCTCTGTGCGAACGAGATGGATCGTAACGTGCCGGAGGCTTTGATATCTGCTGCGACCCGCTCGGACTGTCGACGGGAAGAGTAGTATACCCTGACGGTGGCGGGGTTGTTGGTTTCCTTGTCCGGTTCGATGTCAAAGCGGTGGGTGTGGCCAAGTCCGTCGAACCAGTGGGAGATGTGGAACGTGCCGGATTTGGTGTTGGTCACTTGGGACTGGCCTGGTCCGGTGCGGTAGAGCGATCCGGCGGCCCAGGGGGGTATGTGGCCTTTGATGGAAAGCTCGATTGGGCCGCGTTGTTCGGTTAGGCCCTCGAACTGGATCGGGTCAGCCATGGGGGTTTGATGAGAGGTGGATGCAGGTGCTTACGCCGGCTTGGTTTGGCCAGTCTTTAAAGGCCTGCTGCTTTAGGTTCTCGAGGGCGCTCAAGGCGGAGTTTTCTTCGTCGGTCGACGTGAGCTTGCTCGTTGACCCCAAGGGGGCATATGTTGCAGTCATGGTGTGTGCCGTTGGTGAAGTGTACGTTGGAATTTAAAGGAGGATCAATTGGCTGCTGGATGTTCTATGGCATATTGTATCGCGACGTGGGTGGGCAAAAAGAAACTCAGGGACCACCACGATGGAGCTTTCCCTTTATGGAGCTGCTGTGACGCGAGGCCTTGTGCAGGCCGAGGTTCAAGTCGCAGGATCGATCCTGCCATCTCTAAGCGAATACCAAGACAGGTGTGCAGATGGACGATGGGTTACTCAGACACGTAATCTACCACGTCAAGTGTTACCCCGCAGCATCTTTGTCCTGGAACTATTGACATCTTGATAAGGGGTTGACAAAGCCTGCGCGTGCAAGAGTGCTGATATACGACTGATCCCTTGCGCTCGTACCCGTGGAGGTCCTAGCAATTAGGTCTACGATAGGAATTTTTGCACGTGGGCAGCCGGATAGAGTCGATGTTTGAAGAGTATCGGTGCGGCTGGCGTGATATGCCTTTAGGTCTAGTAAATAAAGAGAAATAAAACAAAACATTATGTGGTTAGGTAAGCGCCGCATCGCGCAGCCCGAGGCTGGTGTGCCCTCAGGGGTTCGGAAGCCCATGGGAGCCTCTGTTATGTATGGCTTGGAGCTTGGAGAAATTGGTTTGGGAAATGAGAAAAACTTGGGCGGGTGAGCGAAAATGGTTATCCTCTAGTTCAATCAATCTCATTCTATAGAAAAGCTGGGTTTTTGCAGATGGCATTGTACAAACAAAAAGCACAAAGAATTAAGAGACTAGAGAGAACTACAATGAGCACCTGAATGAAATCACTTCTTCCCCGCCTTCGGCCATTTCTCCGACTTGCCGTCAATATCGTCAACTTTTTTATCGTTTTCCCTCATGGCGGCAAGCCGCCTTTCCGACAAGATGGCGAGAGTGCTCCTCCCATGCTCCTGGGCCGTTTGAAATGCAGAGGAAGACAATATCTCCCCTGCTGGGACTGTAGTCTTTAGGACACATAGCTCCTTCACTTCAAAACTAGAATCCGAAGCATCCAGCCGCTTGAGCAGAGGACCTGTCCGAGCCAAAACCCGCCCGTGTGCGAGTTTACAGCGGACTGCCAACACCTGTGAGGAACGCCTCTCCCGGCAGTCAAGCGGAACAAGAACTGATCCATCATCCTCGGTTTTACAGGGTGTCGTGAAGTGTATGCCGTCGCTGGTCGTCATCACCGACCGTTGCCGCGAGAGTGAAGACTTCATCTCTGGAAGTGGGACAAAATCTTCACAACCAGAAAAGGCCACCGGTGTATCGGCTAACAGCCCGACATGCAAAGAAGATCGTATTAGGGGTTCTGGTCCAGGTGGGCGCCATGCGAAAATGCTCAAGTCGCCAGTCGTTTTCAAAACCTCCTCTTGCAGGCGGATAAAAGCTCTGGAGCCCTCGCCGTAGAGAAGAGGCATATATATGCCGAAGAGGCCCATTAGGCAGTAAGCCATATCCTCGACTCGTGTTGTCAACCGGTTGGCTGCCCATGACATCTTCTGCGCAGCGGTGGCAGCTGCTAACTCCCTGCTTACTCTGGAGCCGGTCATAATTTGGGATGGGATCCGAGTTATATCTTCTATCGTATGTCTGAGCTTGTATTTGCTGCCGATTAGATGCCAGGATGAATCGAGGAAAACCACAACACGCGGTGCGACGAGCTCCTGGAGGGTCCAGCCCCGTGTGAACCACCGGCTCTTCGAGAACTCTGGCGGAGCATCTGTCGTATCTAGCCTAGTCGCAACTTTCGACCACTCGAGCTCCGGGTGGAATGGAACGTCGAACAAGTACGCGAAGCAGACAGCGGCGCCCCGGTACCAGCGAAACATGGAGTTGATGGCCTCGGAGAGCTCGGCGCTGCTGGTCTTGTCGATACAGCAGGTATCGATCCAGATGTATTTGAACCGGCAGGCTTTTGCAACGGAACAGGCATTCTGGATTTTTGCGTACCCCGCCTTGGATTTTGTCGCTTCCGATACGGACTGCAGGTCCTGGAAGGTGACTTCCTCAGTCTGCCAGACATGGGAAAGAATGGCGTACTGAGGAATTCTCTCCCCGTGGAACTCCTTGATAGTCAGCTTGGAGGTGTGAAGGAGCCGCATATTGAACAAAATTTCTGTGGCGCAAATGTAGGGACGGAAGTGGCACTTGGGACAAGCCTTGGTCGGTTGGAGAAAAATTGTGGTTGTGAGTTTCTGCCCAACGGCAAGTTGAGATCTGAAAGACTGAGATAAGGATGCTTGCTTTTTGGAAGAGGAGGATGTGCCCTGACGGCTGCCTGGGTGCTCCTGCCTGGCCTTGGCTGACCTTGGCTGGCCTAACAGGTCCAATCACCAGAGTCGTGACCACGTGATGTCCTGGGGGATCATAATTCGCGAATAATCTTGCTTTTCGCTCCTTTACTTGACGCTGTTTCAGCTTCACGATTGTATCCAAGAAGAAACCTACAAAACAATGAGGTCTGCAGCCGGGTTTGTCTTTAAAAAGAAAAAGGAAGCTTTGACGATATCGAGGTACCGCAAAGACTCGCGAATACCGGTTTGGTCCACTTTGAGGGTACGTACTGCCTGCAGCCAATTGAAGCTGTTGCCAGACGCCTTTGACCAGGCCAAGTACGCCTCAAAATCTCCCAGCCGCAGTGGCTAGCGAGCGTCGACACTTTTGGTATCGAGCGTGGAATGTCCGTGCCCCCGTTATCTCGCCTGTGCCAGCCAACCATCTTATAGCGCCTCAACCACCGCGCCAGCGCACGGCACCCGGCTGTGGCTCAGGCCGTGGCTCAGGCAAAGAGCTCTCATACTCGCCGTCGCCAGCACTTACTTTTTGAAGCTATCGCCAGTTAAATGGCGTATGTTGGTCATGTGACTACTATATTCTAGTAATCTGGGGTTTGTATAGGGCCAGGTACGTGGAAAAAATAGGTGTTGTAGACGTAAAAGTACAGGTTTTGCAGTAAAAATAGTGGTGTTTTGTCCCTTGCAGTCAGCACTACAGAGTTGCACCCTGTACTAAGGCCTGCACGTGACTGTAGGGTAGAACGAAGCCTGATTTAGCTATTTGAAACGCTTTCTTCCTGTCCTTATACCTGGATTTGCACCTCGCGATATAAGCTGTCACGATAGCTTCAG